TAAGAGGTTAATATAAACAAGTAAGAAAGTTCTAAGTTCGGATGTAACCGAACATTTTATACTCTCTTAACTTGCAAGGATCAAAGCCCGGGAATTTTTTTCAGATGTTTGCACAATTTTATATTAAAGGATCCGATTCAACCAATTTTTGACACAAAAACATACTATTATCGAGAGTTTCATTTATTTATTTTATTATATGAATTTCAATTATATATCTTGCACATTAATCGATATTTTCGTTAAAAAGTCAACTGGGGTCCACATATTCAATACCTAGGGGCTTGAACAGTTTTAGTTTGATTTAGACAATTTTTGGTCACAAGGTGGCACATTTTAATCGCATTATTCACGCAAAGTTTTACCCCGATACAATCATTGTTGCTTGATTTGCATAGTTGAAAGTGAAAGAATCAGATGGTATTTAAAATGGTTTTATATGGGAAATAGGCGCGGTTGTAATCCGATTTCGCCGATTTTCGTACATAGAAATATGAAAAGAATGTTATGTATCGAATTTGGTTGAAATCGGTTAAGCAGATCCCAAGATATGGGTTTTCACCTAAAAGTAGGCGGTGCCACGCCCACTGTCTAATTTTGAACGGGATTGCGTGTTTAGTGCTTAATTTATCGCGCTTTTGGTAGTTCTTAACAGTACCGTTATATGGGAAGTGGGCGGGGTTGTCACCCGATTTCACCCATTTTCACACTGTCAATAGAGGTGCTAAAAACATTTGTTCTCAGTGAATTTTGTTATTACAGGTTTAGCTGTTTAGGAGATATGCACATTAAACCTATTAGGGGCGGGACTACGCCCAAAAAAAATTTTAAGCTGCAGATGCCCCTCCCTAATTTGATCCTGTATTCCAAATAACAGTCTTACATCTTATTGCGGAGCTTAGTTATGACAATTTATTTGTTTTTGATTAATGGCGTTTTGTGGGCGTGGAAGTGGTCCGATTACGCCCATCAGCAATACAAACCGACTTACGGTATCAAGTAACATGTGTACCAAGTTTCATAAAGATATCTCAATTTTTACTCAATTTACAGCTTGCACGGACGGACGGACGGACAGACATTCACCCGGATTTCAACTCGTCCCTTCATCCTGATCATTTATATATGTATATATAACGCTATATCTAACTCGATTAGTTTTAGGTGATACAAACAATCGTTAGGTGAACAAAACTATTATACTCTGTAGCAACAGGTTGCGAGAGCATAGAAATTCTAAACAAGGGAAACGATAGCTTCAGAGCTCCGTAGAACTTTTTTCCAAAAATAGTTTTAATTAGAAATCTATGTGTAAATTCAAATATTCTAAGCAGACTTTTTAAATATTTAAATCTTTTGAATTTTCTTCCCTTAGGGAAATTTCATATCTCCCAGACTGTTCGACTGATGTACTTTTAGTGCCGGTCAAAAATTGTTGAGATCGGATCACAATATTAGTTATTTAACTTTGCATTTGAGAACTTAGGAGTTAAAAAAGTTAACGCTACAAAACTTGAATTAGTTTATAGCTGAATATAAATACTTCCATTGTTGCACCTGTATCTACACCGTATAAATTGGTCAGTCGTCAGAAAATCTTATTGAAGCCGATCAATTTTTTTCACTTGCTAATTTGTGCGAAATTTCTATATATCAGGCTTTCCCTTAGATCACATGTACCGAATTAAGGAATTTTCGCCTCTCTTCCTAATTTTATACTTGGTCTATATGAGAGATTACTAACAGAAAATTTGGGAGTATATTTTCCTTAGCGTAATCATATTGCTACCAAAACTGTATTTTTATTTTTGTAGCAATCACTATTAGAGAGTTTTTAAGAATTTGTATTTTATTTATTATAAAAATATGCAGAGACCTAGCAATATTTCGAACGCCTTAGTTTTCACAAGTTGAACTCAAACATTATGCAGTTTATTGAAAATGGAAACAGAGACAACCTATTTAAGAAATAAAATTAAACATTTTTACATCAAAGGCTAATTCTACAAGAGTTGTCTCTTTTGCAAAATGTTAATTAAACTATCTATATGACATCCAATACTACATTCACTGGTTCCAAAGAAAATCTTTTAATCGAAAAAATATTAAAACCCGAAAACAAAATAAGAGAAATCGGATTTAATTCGCCCTAAAGTTTAACGGGTATTATTTATATAATTCTGGATATTTAATGCGTGAGCCATTACAACTCCCATTTTAAACTTTCAATGTCAAATACAATGTCGGTTGACCATAAATAATATAAACATTGACCCTTGAACTACATGTGCAAGTTCCTAAATACAATTGTAAAGTACCTCATGGTGACCTTATAGGAAACCCGTAACTTTAAAAGTGATGAATTGAAATCCGGGTAACTGTCCGTTCGTCTGCCCGTGCAAGCGATAACTTGATTAAAAATTTAAATATCTTGATGAAACTTGCTGCATCTGCTACCTAAGAGAGGTTGGTATTGCAGTTGCCACTGCCTCGCCAACAAAATGCTATTAAACGAAAACCTTTAAAGTGCCACAACTCAGCAATAAATTAAGAAACACAACTGTAATTTCGTATAGGAGATCGCAGTAGCAAGAGACACCATTGAGTTAAACATTTTTTCCAAGTGAGCGTGCCCTCGGCCCCTAAATGATTATATGTGAATATTTTCAAAACCGCTGAACCTAGCTCAATCAAACTTGTTTTGAAGGTTATTTTTATACACTGTTAAATGAGTAAATTCAGATAATAACCACGCGCACTTCCTATAGAACGGCTATGTGCAAAACTACTTAAAGTGCGATAACTCTCTGAATAAACTGCGTAAGGAAGCTCCTTATAGGAGCAGATGTACAAATTGGACAATGGGCGTGCCGCCAACCTTTAGATTAAATCCTATTTGTCAGGAGCTACTTAATCAATTATACTCAAAAAAAGATATGGTTCCCCAAACACTCCTATCATACGCTATGAAAATGGGCAAATTCATCTGATTCTTTCATTTCAAATATTCTTACTTCGTTCGTTTCAGTAATTGACATGTATTCTACAATATATAAATATAATATATAAAAAAATTTTTACCAGATATGTATTTTCGTGTTTTCATAGACAAAAGAGGTTTTCACTCGAAAACTTGTGTTTTCATCCATACAAAATCTGTCAAACAGTTTTCGCTGAAAACCCCTTGAAAACTTACATTCCACTCATTATAATCGGTGCCTGCTCTAGTTTAATCACATTTGATATGTCAGTTAATTTACATTTGCATTTTCAAATTCCGAACTATCCACTAATTGGAGAAAGACGTACGCAGAGCTATTGAGAGGAGGAGATGGCATCAAGTGAAAATTTATTTTTATATTTTCATATTTTGTTATATTTTTTGTTGCATTCCTTTTTATATTTAAGTATATTATTATAACTAATTTTGATTAAAAGTTTGAAATTTATTAAAAAAATAAAAATTATATTATCTACTGCGCAAAATAATGGTCAGCAATGACTCAGAAAAAGACAATTCCGAATATCCATGTGTTAAAGAGAGATGCAAACTCACACACATACGTTTGTTTACATCAGTGTTTGCACAAGGCTCTTAAGAAAATGATAGAAACTTTGTTCTGCGCGCTGACAAAGTTTTTTCAGCTATGACTGTCATATTACCCATCAGATGACCGTCACTGTTCTTGTAGGGTACATAGCAAATGTAAACAAATAGATGTGTGAACTGTCAATGAAAACTCATCGAAAACACACAATGTCGAACGACTTTGGTTTCACAATCCACAAATTGTGTTTTCAAGAGAATTTCAATTCGGTGCGAACATAGTAGTAGCCCATAAATCAGTCAATTCAAACTTTAACAAAAATTGCCATATTTAGATTCAAAATTATGAAAGTGCACTTATCTACTCTGTAAAAAATAACATTAAATATATTTAGTATTTAGTTATACATGGTAGCTATCGATGAGCCGTTTTATTTTTCGTTACCCTTTCGAGGTCAATGCATTTCAATGAATTAATTTCACTTTTGCATTATACTAAATTTAGGAGCGACATAAATTAAAAAAAAATAGTACTTTAAAATAACTTAACTGTTTTGTGCATATTTGATTAGATACATGCGAACTCAATAAAAAAACCGCTTACAAAAGTACATTCGAGAATATGCCGCAAAATTTGATGGGTATTTGTTGTTGTTGGTCTTTTAGTTTCGTTGCAATTTGAAAAATTTGCGTTACCATACAGGTCAATTAGTATGTCAATAAATTGTATCCTATTATGTTTTCATTCATGCCTGAAGCATACGAATTTACTGCTATACGTTGAAGCAGCATGGAAAAAATGACCAAGAATGGCAAACTAGTACTCGCAGTGCGAATGTATTTAAAACATAAATAATATCTAAACTGGTTACAACAGGTGGACAAACTCGAAAAGGAGAAGTGGATTTATTATAAAAGCCGTTATTTAATTCTACATAGTATGTACAAATGCATAACAGACGTTCAGTAATAATTTTACCATATTTTGTATTGGCAACTAATTTGATTTTTGCACAAATTTAAATTTTGAGCTTTTAGTCATCAATCTTCAATAGATTTCTTAATACGATTATTTGTATTTTAAATTTATTTAATATTATATATACGTATATTACCAAAATGAGTATGATATTATATATTTTAAGTAAATCTGCAAGCAGGTTTAAAAAATAATGAATGAATAAATTGAATAAAGTTATAATTTAGTTATTTTTTTAAATTAATTATTAATTCAATAATATTTGATTATTTATAATAATAACTATTTTTATAATTGATTATATAACTTATATAAAAATAATTTATTATTATTTTTAATAATAATTATTGTTTAGTAGAGTTTAAACTTATCTTTATTTCTAATTTCAACTTATTTATTATACAAGTTTACAACTTCTTACTTATATCTCAATTACGCTTTACACCGCAATACTCTAACTAGAACTGTGCCTGCTGCACAATCTGGCAGCCCCTATAGAGTAGCTGTTTAACAAATCATCTCCACTAAATCACACATTCACATCAAGCCTTTAGCTGTAATACACTCAGCATATTTAGCAATTCTGACTGATTGACGACAACAAGCTAATAAAATCTTTGATTTAACTTCTCCAAGGCTGTCGTGATTCTCAAGTGCCCTCCACTTGGACCGTTGTGTAGCTCGTTGAGCACTTCAGGACTTCCAAGCTTCGGAACAATCATAAGTGCTCGGGAGCTTTGTCCATCTTGGCTTTTCCAAACTCGATGCTGGCAGCCGCACACCAACTTTAAACTGTTCTGCTCTGCCCAATATGATTTCGCGACTGGGCTTTCTGCAGCTATTTCTCCACTCGTTGTATATTTGTTCACATCTACTTCATGCATTACACCTTGCAAATCTGGATCTTCTTGATTAAATTGTAACGGATTTCTCAATAAATCGTCTATTTTGTAACTTACTCTGGAGTTCGATCACTGGATTTTTAAATAAAAGTCTCAATTTAATGGCTATACACTTATCTTAATTTGTAATTCCAATAATTTACTCATTGTAAGACTTTACAACTTCTTACTTATATCTCAATTGCTCTACACACGGCATTATTCTAACTAGAGCTGTGTCTGATCTTTAACAAAACAACGCCACTAGAATATTCTGTCAACTACGAATTTGCTGTCTAGTTGATTCTGGCAATTTATAGTCGGTTCGATTTTGTTCTATCATCCGTGTTCGTCCCACTTTCTTTAGTTTATTTTGACTATCGAATGTTTAACCCTAAACTACACTACACACTAATATAGTCTGGTAATACCAAAAAAGAGTTGTAGCATTTAAAACCATTTTATTAAATATTATAATTTTTTACTCTTTTGTTAAGTGTTAGATGCATAAGAAGGAATGTTACGGAAATATTTAGAATTAGGTAAGGTATTTCTAATGTTCTGAATTTTTGACGTCACCGTTTTCCTGTATTTTAATAAGAATTAATAACTTAATAATAAAGTACTTTGCTGAAAGTTTTATATATATAAAATTCTTGCTCTCATTTTACATTGAGTAAGTAGTAAGAAAATTTACCTTTTTATAACTCGTCAGTTCTCAGAACAGTTTATATAGTACCATGAAAAATTGTATATGTAAATTTATTAATTTTTTGTTTTTCCGTGGTCTCTTAATTTAAACCAGCGAAAAATAAATATCGATAGTATTTTTTTTAAACTGGTTTTGTACTCATGTAAAAGTATTCGAGATAGTACGATGCTATGGAAAGTAGTCGATTCTACTTTCCTTTGAATAATTTTAGCATATGCCAGTGGATCTTGTACAATGTACGGGCTTGATTCACAATTAATAGTTGGAATGATTTTTGACAACGTAACATACTTTTCGGCAGAAGTTTTCCGGGTTGCAAACTTTAAAGATTTTAGTATAACTATTATATGTTTAGATACCTACATTTCACTGCGTAAAGACATTTCGGGTCCATTCGAGGTAAACAAAATCTCGCTTAAGCTTTTTTGTTGCACCTACAGCATCGGCTGATTCGATTGTAAAATACATATTTATAGAACCATTAGCTGGAAAAAACAAATGAGGGAAGAGAAGAGAAATTATGTTGCCATACGTACATAAGAGAAGAGGAGCAAATGTAATTAATTTGGAGTTGCTATGCTTATTTTTTGCGGATATTATATATCCGAGCTTCAATAGCTCTCCTACGAGTAAATACTTGTAAAATGTACCGACTTTTGATCGGAAAATGGTTGCAGATTTTTTGAAAAAGTTGTCCAAAAAATGTTGGTCATATGTAAAACTAATATTTGGTATATTCTTAAAGGAGCGGGTATTATTGGCAAATTCCAGAACAATTAAGATTAATATATATGTCTCTTTTTAACTGTGATAAATTAATAAATATTCACCACCACCAAAAATTTATATAAAAATAATAATTAGATTAAAAACAATAATCAAAAACAACTCACCTTTGTAAAAATCCGTCCGTCCGTTTCTATTGCTATTGAGCATAACAGTGTTGCTTAAGCTAACTTTAAACTACAGAACAATATAAATACCGTGTTTTATACCATAAAGATATTACAAATTCAACAAATAATTTTGTTTTATTTTTCAAAAGAACTATTATGACTTGTAATACCAAATTTTTTTACAGTGGTAAATTTTTCCGGTCCACTCATAGTAAAATAGAATTTTAAGTTTGTCCATGAACCAGTTGATTAGAACGCTTAAAAATATACCGCAAATGTTATAACGATTACTTAAGTAAGGTAAAAAAGAATATAGTACGTAATCCAAAAAAAGTTTTATGATTTCATTAACTCCACACGCAGGACTTCCAAATTTCTGTCCGCAATGAAATACAAATCTATCAGTTCAAGTGACAATGACATTATATCCAATATGTTTGCAGAATTTTTCAAGTCAAACTACTGTAATAATTCTCCAAAAACTTTTTCTAACCAGCACGTTCTGTGTCCGAATACTTTAATTAACACTCCAAAAAATTCTGAAGAAGACGTCCTACGTTAAAATAAGTAAAAACTTTTTTTTAATTATGGCCCAGACATGATACCCTCTCCTAGACACAGTATATTTCATTCAATATGTCATATGACAATCATTTATAACCCCTTTTGCATTCCATATAACTTTTTTGATTCCTCCGTTAATTTCCTCATCTCAGCATAGATTTCGTAAAGGGAAATCGATTCTAACGAACTTGCTTGAATTTGTAAACCATGTATCATTGGGTTTTAGGGATCATAAGCATACGGATGTTATGTACACGGTCTTAAGCAAAGCTTTCGTTAAACAAAATTTCTCGACTCTCATATCTTTTAGCCAAGATTTCTTCAATGGGTAGCTTCTTCTCTTTATAATAGAACAAAACGAGTGATATTTGATACAATTAGTGTCTCTTCAGATAATCCGCAAGGTAGTCATCTTGGCCCGATTCTGTAATTGTTGTTTATTAACAAATTCTCAAAAATTTTGTTATACGCCGTAAAGCTTTTTAAATCATGCACTTCAACTGAGAAAAAGGGTCTGTTTTAAACTCAAGACTTAAACAATCTGGTTGCTTGGTGTGATAAAAATGAACTACTATTGAGGCTCAATAAATGTAAGACGATGTGCTTTTCCCGTAGGTCTGTGCCCCTCCTTATGTAATAAAAAACCATAGTCTAGAGCAAGTTTTTAACAATGTTGATTTAGGAGTTAATATGGACCCTAAGCTTAATTTTAGTCTTCGTATTGATACCATGGTTTTGAAAGCAAAAGGTGTTTTCAGTTTTTTTAAACGTTGGTCTAAAGAATTTAGAGATCCGTATTTTAATAAAACACTTTCTACAACTTTGGTTACACTTATATTGGAATATGGCTATGTTGTATGGAACCCTAGCTGCCAAATCCATTCTAACAAGCTAGAATTTGTTAAAAACAATTTTTATTTTTCGCCTTAGGGCATTTCCGATGGGATTCTAGGGTAAGTCTACCTCCATACACTAGTCGTTTGAAATTTATAAATCTACCTACACTTGGTAGTCGTAAGGAAATGGTTGGCATATGTAGTATTTATAGTGAAAATCTTGAATGGAACAGCTTGCAGTTCTTTTCTCCTGTCTGAAATTAAATTATATTATATAAATATTAAAGAAATAAAAAAGCAAAATCGTAACAATTTTTTTACTCGTCTCCAAGCGGCTCACCACGCCATAGTAGAAACTGAGTTATCAGATCTACCACAAAATTTTAAAACCTCGGCCTTCGCCAATTACGAAAACTGCTTAGACCAGTACGAAGCTACAAAAGCTATGATCTCCGATCAACTAAAGCTAATAAAAGCAATTGCACCTACTTCACATCAGCGAGTAGAGCTGCCACAAGTACAAAATCAAGAGGCAAGTTCAGGCACCCATCTCGAGGTGCCCGCATGTGACACAGAAATATTTTATGAAGGTTATGAAGAATGGCCGTCCTTCCGGGACATGTACACTGCCGTATACATCAACCATCCAAAATTATTAAAAGCGCAAAAATTGTATCACCTCCGATACAAAACTAAAAGTCAGGCAGGCGCAATAGTAAAACAGTTCGCACTAAATGACTACAATTTTAATTTGACTTGGGAAGCTGGAACATCTGGATATGAAAATGAAAGAATATTGGTTGATAAACAAGTAACGACACTAATAAACTTGCCTAAAATTCAAAAAGAAACAAGTGAAGAATTTGTTAAACTACAATCCACTGTTTCTAATTGTTTGTCGGTTCTATCGACACACAGAAAAATCGTTACTTTTGTGGGAGCAATCGCTCTCATCTCGGAAAATTCATTTACGGACATAACCCGTCCAAAACCTCAACCACAGACCTCTCAATTTCGCATCTAACTTTGTTTGATCTCTCTCTTTATTTTTCAACAACCCATAATCACCGATTTTGCACCCTATTTCTAACGTCTGCTATATTAATTTCGATCTCAGTTTCGCATGGTGGTATCAACTTTAGACGACGAGTCTTTTTGTCGATCAACAGCTCTAGACGACTTGCGTCAGTGGCACAACTAATCGTACAATTTTGCATAGTATGTCTAGGTACATTATATGTACATAAGAATAGGATGGAGCTCGGCCTCAACTTTTCTCGAGGAACCTTTGAAAGTTTTCCACGTCATATAATTGTCGGCAAATTTACGGACATATTTATTCATTTTATCAAACCAGAAATACTGTTAGGCTTTGTCTAACTTGGTTTATTACTGATCATTTGAATGCACGTGATACAACGGGTAAACAATGGATTCTATTATGTATTTGAACCTTTCGCAACTCGGTTCAAATCTAATCGCTGCTCAGCGCAATTGCCTTAGATTTCCGCTAGATTAACTCGCTTTTCAGGAATTTTGCATACTGACGAATGATAATTTGTTTGAAATGGCTTTCTTAACAAAAAGTAGAATGATTGTAAATACGTCCACCAGCGATGTATTATCAGATCCATTTTATTACGCGATGCCGTTAGAGAATTGCAATCAGTATATACTACGAACCTATGACCAAGCAAATAATGGCGAAAGTGCTTAACAGACTTGACAACTGCCAACGTCTTCAACTCATAAGAATGGTACGTAAATTCAATAGAGGAAGTTGTATTGCAAAAGTTTTCTATTACATAAGGGCTATTGTCGATCTTTTGGGTATTGGGAGTCAAAAATTACGAGAACTGGCTCGTTTGTGAGAACGACAATAATTTTCTTTCAAAATTTTTTTAGCTCTGCATTCCACATAAAATTGTTCTTCAGTGAAGTAAGAGAATATAGAGGTTTCATTATCTGAGAAAATCCAGGTACAAATTTGCGGAAATACGAAGCCAAAACAATGAATTGCCTCACAGCAGTAATGGATTACGGCGGAGGCAAATAGCTTGGTTCAACTATTTTACGCGGATTTAGCCTTAGTTCACCCGCTCGTATCTCATATCCGAAATACTGAACAACAGTTTTCGGAAAACTACATTTGGTAATATTGAAAATAATTCAGCTTTAGTAAGAACGTCCAATAACCTTCCCCCATAATGTCGTCCTTACTTATCTTTCAACGCATTATTGCCCTACATGTGTTACAAACGCTGTATATTCAACAGAGTCCGGATGCATTCGGATCTGATGGTAACCGGTAGCAATGTCTAAACAAGTAAAATAAATAGCACCACAAAGTCTAG